ATCAGTCACGAGCTGTCTCCCTCTCGATTCGTAGCCGAAAAACAATACATAGCTGATATCCAGTGTCACTTTTGCGACGTATCATTTTTGTGTGGTTTTGTTTGTTTGGAATGAACCAAAACATTAAGTACAACACCATGAACAGATTTATCAACAGGACAAAAGCGTGGTAAAATCAATACTGCCTATACATTTGTACAGCTATGTTATTGTCATAACAGCCAATGTATCGATGTACGTAATGAGGCGTCAAACGATTGGGGCTACATGTCCTGCAAACCAAATAAATTCGGTAGGTAATACTAAACCAAAGAAAGTCATTTAAATATGTTTGTTTCATTAAATTTAATTGTTTATTATTTAAAATGTAGGATGCATGGGTTGAATTAGGCGTGGTAGTCTATAGTAGTAGGACGCCGGGCTCGTGACCCAAGGGTTAGGGTTCGAGTCACCACACGGAGCTTTGTGGTATCTTTGAACAAGATACTTTACTCCGCTTGTTCCAGTCTACTCAGCTGTAAATGAATACGTGTGCTAGAACTGTTGAATGTTAGCTGTGAGCGCCGAAATGCCTGTATGCTCCCCAGGGAGTTGAGAAAGATATTAGCTGGTTGCAAAGTCTCTATAAACACGGATAATACATTGTGAACCGCTTTGAGACGACCTACGAACTAGGTTGTGATAAAGCGGTATATAAGAACCTCGACTTATTTATTTTCATTATAACAACACTAACTCATTTCTGTATGAGAAAATGTCTGATAATGCAGTACATGTAACTTAAATAAACCTATATTTCGTGCGACATTATATTGCTTTTATTAGACATTTCAAAAGCCATGGTAAAATAACTAAAAACAAACTTGACAAGAAAACTCACATTCACAATGTTGTAGATGTAATTAGAGTAAGACGATAAATCGTTTTGATTAGAGAACTTAAAAGACAGTATTAAATCTTTATATAAAGAATAACTTTAAATAAAGTCTTCTTGGAAATGCTAAGGTTTACAAGGGTTACCTTTAAAGAAGCTATCTGGGATTTTCACATCAAACGAATCAAATCCTGGAATAATTTCCAGCAATGAATACATACTCAACCTTCCGAGCTAGGTCAAGTATTATATGAACTCTTATTTTCTTCGATAGGACGTGAAAAGATATGGGGTCACCTGCCCGAACACATGGGTTTATTCCAGGTACTCCGGTTGCCTCCAACAATAAGACATCCCGCGCGCCAACATCCGGACGAACAAGAGTGATTATAATAAAAGTTGAAATTACTTGTTTCATAATTGTTGTAAAAAACAAGGTTTTTATTTTAGCGAATAATCTAGTCTAGCAGAAAAAAATTAGTCAGGTGAGCAACGGAGTATATTATATTAAAAAAAATATATTATTCTCAATTCCTATTTATTCATAGTGATTGTTTCTCAATTTACTAATGAACAACGTTACCATAGCGCGTATTTATACGATTAAAAAGAAATATACTTTTATTTATAGTCTTGTAGACTTCAGATTATTGTACAATCTCCCGTACCGACTGAGCTACGTCATCAATGGATGTTTCCTGACACAACTGCTACAGTTTCATACAACAAAGTTAATGAAGGTTACTGTGAATATGAAAAGCAACAGGGCAGTTGGACAGGGATCCTTAAAATACACCATTAACTTATGCCAATGACCTTGATATATGTCTATTATTCTCTTTATTTCCTCCGAATCGAAGATTCACAAACAGAACAATATATATATGCATTCATTGAAGATTGACAAAGTAACGTACATGTTATATGACAATATTCAAACGGAAATTCAAAAGGTAAATTGTATTGTAAAGTAAGGGTTACGCTGGAGTTAACTCCCCTTTGAGTCACTACGCTCCTTAACTTATCTTAAGTTATTTAAGAGAGATGGCCATCATACGAAATACAGAAAAAGGAAAAATGATACAACTGACACATTATAAAGTTTAGGTTAGTTCTGAACATTTTCGTCAGGTTGGTTAGTATGGATTATGAGAAGTTCTTTTTACACAACCAATACATTTTATTGGTTGTGTAAAAAGAACTCCTCATCATAAAGTTTAGGTTAATTAAGACATCATTTGTAGTAAAGTTTGCACATTCTGAATATACAAGTTACAGCTTTTATGCGAAAGTCATCTAACTCCGATGAATTCAACTCATGCTCTACATTTCTTCCAATGAGGATATGAAACATATCATAATCAGACATGGAATGTAAGTACACACTAAACATTATGTCTTTTATATTTATAATATCACACCATAAATTATCTCTTAACTCTCTTGTATAATCACATTGTAGAACTATATGGGTGGATATATCACTGTACATAAAGCCACATTTATGACATAATTCTTCACCCTCATACTCTCTGACAGTAACAATTAATTTCATGACATATTGTATAGCTTCTCTTTTGGCTGGGAATTTAAAAGCCAGTCTCCATAATACATGTGGTACTAAATGACCGTGGATAAGAGAAAATCTGGTATAATCATTGGCCATTCCTTCTCGCCACGCTAATTCCTCTACTGAGTATACGGCATTCTTTACTTTAACACGCCACATACATTTAGACGGAAAATCACAGTTAGTTATAAAATCATTAAACACTTCAAACAATTTATACTTTTGCAGTATTCTTAGTATATCAACTGCGAACCCTTGTCTATTTGAACTTAATAACACCTTTTGATATGCTAAGTGTTGCCTGTTTGGGAAATTATCCGTGCTAAGGACAGGATCCAATCTCTTCGACAAAATCATTTCAAATTTTTTAAATATTACAGGTAAAAGTGTCACCCCTCTATAACTATTCGGGTCGTCTTTCAGTTTACCATTTCCCTCATACAGTGTTATGATAAGGCCTTTTTTCCAGTCATCAGGTATATGTTGAGACTTAATGACAGCATTGTATACCTTCGACAAATGACTATATAGAAATTCACTTCCGTACTTGAAGCGTTCATACACAATATTATCAATCCCTCCAGCTTTGTTTAGTTTTAATTTACAACATATATTTTCGATTTCACACTCTGTAACAGGGTCGTCCAAATACTTGTCCTTTCCATTGGAAAGCCCAATTTCAATGCCGCTAACACATTTTAATATCTCGCTCTGAAACTTGTTATCGAAACGATTGTCTGCCTTATCAGTAAATATATCTTCGAAATGGCATGCCCATTTTTCTACCATTTCATTTGATTACGATAAGTGACTCCGTCGTACTTCAACTCAGTTTGAGCATATTGTTTCGTTGGTGTTTTGCTCTTTAATAGCTGCCGAAATAATTTCTGACCAATTTCTCCAGATTTATCTATCTCTGTAAACTGCGCTGTCATGTACTTCTCAAACGCTTGCCTTAAGCCCCTTCTAAAATCAGTTTTAGACTGTGTGTACTCTCTGTAACTATCATTTAGTACATCTCGTGGTTTCCCACCGCTCACCCATATCGCTCTGACTCCTATCATGGTATCGTGAAACAATGCCAAATGTTCATTCCAGTATGGCTTTCGATGCTTTTTGAATTTTATTTCAGGTATAGACTCTTAAGCCGAATTTAGTAATGCTGACACAATTTCATTACTATATATATCAATTTCATCCTGCGCTATTACTTCAGTACCTGGTTCGCGTATTTTGGACAACTTATCGTACAGTGATAACTTATACTTCTATAGCATTCCCTCTGACACAGCTTTCTTCCAATTTAACCTGACATTACATGATTTTATAGACTGGAGTTGATACGTTGTTACATTTAATGAACAAATGGCAGGTAGGTGTTCCGACAGGTTTAACTCCGTGTCCTCTAATATACATATGTCGTTTACCAGGTCAAACATGCTCGATTGAATTATTACATGGTCAATGAGTGTACAATTTCCGGTTTGGGGAGAAAATGTATAAGAGGAACCACTGCATATGTTTGTGATATTTGCAGACATTAAGTTAGACCTGTCTAAGAACTCCTGAAAACATGGAGAACGAACATTTTCAGTAAATTTATATCGCGGTCCTTTGAATTTTACATTCATATCCCCATGAAAGATCACCCTCCCTCTCTCCGAGTTACCTGAATACAGCGTTCCAGCATATCTACATTATTACTGAACACATCGAACGCTCTCGAAGATGCTGGCATATATACAGCAACACAGAATATTGACAGGTCATCGGATGCAACAATTTCCGCTCCTACTATCCTTGGGTTATCTACCTCAATTTCCTGTAAGCGATAGCGGGCCTTTTTGAATAGGAGAGCAACCCCGCTTCTCACACTACATCTATACTTAAAAGGATCTATTTCGTAAACAGGTTTTGCGAATACACTATAACCGACAGATTTAAATGTATCAAAAAACGATAAGTTATGTTCCCTTATCCAATGCTCAGATGTTCTAGACAGTGTGTTAGGCACGGAGCTCCCGCCATCAGCACCTCAATGTTCCAACACATAACATTAAGCTTAGTCATGACTATGCTTAACTAGAAATACTGCGCGAGGAACCCATGGCCTCATTCTTATGCCATCAGGCCAGAAGTGACTGCCAATAACTATGTCAGCATCCTCCGATAGGATGTTTAACTGTGCCGAGGCTGTACTCTTCCACCGACGTACAAAGTACCTCAGAAACGTAACACGCACACCAGCTTCTTCCAAGAAGTCGTGCATGGCTGATGCGTAGGCTATATTCTTGTTGATGCCATGAATGTAAAATCGACTAATTCTACGCCTTGCTTGTGTCGTATAACCAGCAAATTTCTCTGATAAACTGGAGTTGGATTTTGGTGTTGGATTACAAACTGATGTAGGAAAATGCACATGTATCTGCCTCTTGCATTCTTTTCCTTTATCCTTAACACCCTCTACGACATTGTCCGTTACATCGTTTTTGGTCACCCCTGGGGGAACCCCAGTGGGGACTATTAATTTTGGTTTCAGTCCCAGATTTTGACCTCTTCTATTTACAGCTTTCGTGTGTTTGCTTCTGTCGCTAATAACAAGCTTTTGGATAACTCAGATATCGATTTAGGAATAGATCTAACATACAACCAAAAGGCGTTCCGAATTTCAAACTGAGATGTTCCCAATATGAATCAGTCACCTTTGAGGTTCCCGAAGGGGTAGACTGTTATATTATATATTGCTATTGATTGATTGAGATTTTAATGTCTGACAAACGACTATATTGGTAAAATTTCTTTATAACCAATATAAATTTTGCAATAAAAAGCTCAGGTAGAAAAGCTCAATAACGCCTCTTTTATTTTATCATCTATTCACGCAGTGACAAAAGAAAACGTCACCTAGCAAAAGGGCAAACTTGATTTGACATGTCGGGTTTGTGCTTGCCGCCGGCACACTACATTCACGCATATGCGCAATTTGGCGGACGCAAATAACATTTTGTATGGCTTTGCATTTCTCTGCAGTCCGGCAAAACTTCTAATCGAACGGCAGGTGCCGAACATGCGGGACTTAGGGGACATACGTAATCAGTAGGTAGGTGCCGCCTTCCCGGCGGTAACCGGCACGCCTGAATCAAGTTCGTCCAAAGAAAAAAGTTTACGACATTTATGGAAATTGCTTTATTTTTTTAATTTACATACCATTTTCAGCCGTAACATTATAATTTCAAAGGGTGATATGTTATAAATAAATGCGCGATCATTCAAACAAATATTTCATCCACGTTCATATACCGCATGACAACGTTTACAACTTTGGAACACTTTACGACATAACACTTTACGGCAGAAAATGGAAAACCGGAAGAATACAGGGTAATGTAAGGTAAGTAGTTCATTGCCATATTCTGAATTTATATATTAAAAGCGCTCGACACCGTTTACTGAAAGTTATCGTTTTTGCGGTGGTGGCAGTGCCATGGTGACCACGAGGTACCGACAAAACAATACCATGTTTTGCCGGTACAGTTCCACGTGCACGTGGCGATACTGTACCGTGGTCATATTTTATATTATTTATGTATATCGCTATTGCCAATAATATTCCTGTCAGTGTCCTGTCAAAACGTAAGGACAAATGTGTTTAACAGCACTGTTGTGCATGTATGTATTTCTTTTCTATGAAATCAACCAACAAAGATCCAGTCTAATTTAGGGATGTAAACAATAACATGTTTTGCCGGTACAGTTCCACGTGGTCACCACGTTGCGATACTGTACCGGCAAAACACGGCATTGTCATATTTATGTGTATCGCTATTGCAAAATTATATTCCTGTTAGTGTCCTGTCAAACCGTAAGGACAGATGTTTTTAACAGCACTGTTGTGCATGTATATATTTCTTTTCTATGAAATCAACCAACAAAGATCCAGTCTAATTTCGTGGAGGTTGCTTCATAAGTTGTAATAACTTACGCCAAATCTTATTTTCCAATTCTGGTTAATAAAATATGTTTAAAGTCAACGTCTAATTTAGGGATGTAAACAAAATTGAGGGTATTGCGGTATTTGCAGCTCTTTCTGCAAATCATTGCTCCTTTCTTAATATTTCCCAAGATCACTGATGGTTATATCTGTAACATAAAACATTTCTCTTTAGTTTCGGTACCGTAGGTGTAACAATACAGGTTGAGCACAGGGACTTGTATGGACTAATATGATACATATTAGCTAGAAATATGTATATATATATATAGGTATTTCTAGCTTATTTTATCATATAAGTCTATACAAGCCCATGTGGGTTGAGCTTACCAGAATATATTGCAATACAGAAGGAAAATATTGCGATACTGTCGCAATGTAATTTCATAGGAAAAAATGGTATTTTTTTCTGATAATTGGGCTTAATAAGTGTCAAAATGCTGTCATTAAATCTGAGATCATTTGTGTGATACATTTGTATTGAATTGTATGCTAGTAATAGCCTGGATTATGGTTATTGGCATATCTATTCGACTGTTGCGATTCGCATTGTGATAGATACATGTACGATATGGCCTGTGTATTGCGATATACTGGTTTTCCGATACATTGTAATTGCACCCCTATAGTCTATACATGCTTTAATAAACCATGATCGCACTAAATATCCCAATTAAGCATTGTAAGATAGCTGATATTTTATCATTTCCAGAATACACAAAAAATGGAAGGAGGGACAGCTGCTGAAATACACTGTAAGTCATTACAATTAGNTATGGAGTTAAATAACCACCAATACAATACCAGTACAAACTAGTGATAGGGATTGGAAATTCCTTAATTATCAGCCTTTAGTTTTGGTGAAAATTATTTGCTCCAATATGCATGTTCAGTTCTCTTATATCATTTTTTTTTTCATTTTAACAGATGAACTATCTTATCCTGGCACTTTGGCATGTTTGAATGTGGAAGGCCTTGAAATTGGGATGAAGAAGGCCAGGGAATGTCACAGAGATAAAAAAAAAAATGAAATTATTTGCAGTGTTTGTGTTTTATGGTCATAAAACATGGAACATTTTCTTGAAGTTAATCAACCACATGCTTTCCTATTATATCCTAGTAGGTTGGCATGGTTACCTAAACAGCGTGTATGCATACCTGGTCATTGTTAGACCATTTTGATTGACAGGTGGGAATATGTCGGTTGTAGCTTGGTCAATGATTTATTATACTGAAAATAATCAGACAGGAGATGGGGTGACTTTCATGTCATTTTGACATATTTCTAGTTGTGTACTATTCCGTGTTCACTTGTATTTTCCCGAAGTTCCGTATGGAAAGTATCGAACCGATTCCTGCTTTGGACTGTTGGTCCCATAACTGGACAGGCGTCAATGGTTTGAGTACTATTTGACATTTGAGCACTCGTTGTTTTACATAACCCTTTAGCATCATTCCTCGCGTCTTTGGTAATATTCTTCTCTTTTGTTGATTTCCTTCTTTCGGTAAATTCCTGACGTAGGTTTGCAATAGATGATTGACACTGGTTGACATCCTCAGTAAGTTTGTCGACTCGGCTACCAACCTTACAGAAGTTTTAAGCCTGACCATACCATTAGATTGTTCGTCATCAAATCTCGACGCAATTTTTTCACAATCACTTGTCTTCTCCCGTGTTTGAGACACATCGGCTCTCAAATTAATCAGCTTTTTTTCCAGCGAGTTCTCACTTTTCTTTAAATCGTTTTTTGTTTGAAACGCGTATGTTCATGTTACTCGCAGTTTTTGCAGTGTGTCACACTCTTCTTTTGTTTAGTTCTATGGTAAGCTCGTCGTTTTTCTGTGTCAGTTTGCAGTTTTACGTAGTTCGTTAATTTCCTTATCTGACTTGGCCAATGTACTCCTCATTGTTTTCTGTTCCGTTTGGTAACTTTTTGCTCTATTTTGTGCGTCCTCTTTCTCTTTGAGAATAGTTTAAAATTTATTTTTCAATTCACATATTTCCTTTTTATTGTTAGTTTCAAGCCTCATAGGGATTTAGTTCTTCTAGTTGACCCCTTNGGGGGGGGCTAGTGGTTAGGGCATCATTCTCCAGAAGAAGACGGTTGAACATGCTATGTGATTAAACAATCAACAGCACAAATGTCAGTGATCTACACATAATTATCTATATATTTTACCGTTTTATATTCATAAGGATATACCTAAATTATTTATTTCATGCAATGCAATTATTATAATGGATAATAATAATAGAAAAAAATATAACAAAAGGCAGGAAATTACCGATTTATATAAGAACAGTTCTGTTAATTGTATATCAAGAATACACTATTATGTCAAATGTCGATCTTGTGTACGATTGACTCTGCAAGTCATACAAGTTGAAACACTTGGATGGAATCCCTCTGACCTGAGAAGTTTGTCACCACCAGTTTATCACCACAAACAGATATTGCTCGTGGTTGTCCGATACCGTCCGCTGCCGTTAACAGTTCCCGGACGTTAGTCCCGTCCCCGGACATCTGTACCACGTTGTGTGAGGTTTGACCACAGACATAGATGTTACCTTCCATGTCGACGTCCACTCCATACGCACGCTTAACTACACCAACCTTCAACACGTCCGTGTACTTGTTGTCAGTAGACAACCTACCAATTACCGTACTACCAGTACTAGTATAATGGGCGATAAAGAGCTGTCTGTCCTTGGAATCATTTGACAACGCGAATACTCCGTCAGTATATCGATATAACGTCTTTGTCGTCCCGTCTTTCTTAACACTGCAGACCTCGGATCCTGTACTCACGATAAACTCATCATCTCTGTACGTTATACCGTAATATTGTTTCGTTGTGTTTATTACAGACGACAGTGTAAGTTTGGAGGGTGTCACAGTCACTACATGTATACCTCCAGGGCTATATATAGCGGCCGCCACAGTGGTGTTATCCACCATACACAGATCCCAAGGATTTCCATCCAATTTCAACTCGTCCACAACATCCCCAGCGTCGTTGATTAACTTGATCTTCTTATTGTTGTAATCTCCCAGCACAATTCTGCCATCAGGAAAGTATACAACACCACGAGCATCACAAGCAAATTGATCAGACGGACATTTTATGTTCACCTTTCTTATTTCCCTTACTTCACATTTAGATAAAGGTTTGACGAGAGTTGGGACACCTGGTAAATCTCTTCGTTGCTTTCGGACAACGACTTTACCAAAGTTCAGACTTGTCACGTCCGAATCGATTTCATGTTCAATACTGACAGTTGAAATTGACATCTGCATTTCTTTCACTAGATCCTTACAAGCCTCGAGCTCCGTCTGACCTTTCTGGTAAAGTCGGATCGTGTCCATATGATCGTTCTTCTGTAGAGCTGTAGCGGACGATTCTAATGTATTCTGTATAGCGACCTTCAGTCGTTCACACTTCTGAGTGGACACCTTCAGATTTTCTCTTTCCTGTTTGTACGCCGTGATTACGTCATCTGTGATTTTCTTCTTCATCTCTCTGATACGTTTATCCATACGTTCCTGTAGGTCGTCGATACTTTTCAGTACCGCATCTTTGTCGTCTGCAATGTTCTGTTGTCGTAGATAAAACTCCTTTATCATGGATTCCATGTCGTCTGCTCCTTGCTGTAGAAATGTCTTTCTTTCCTCTAGTTGGGAGCTACTATTCAGTTTCTCACAGTAATCCTCTGTTGTGGACACGTTCTCACATTTCCTGTGACCAACAGTTATACATTTACTGCAACCCAGGGACTTGTGATCCTCACAATAATAAGAGATCTTCTTCTGGTGTTTGTCGCATCGTTTGTCAGATGTTTCCTGTCTCAGCAGGAAATTCCCGTAACCTCTCATATCTACAATATCACAGCTCACATGGACCACATCATGGAAATCCACTTTACAAGACTCACAGAACAATGACTGATTTATTTTACACCAGAATTGTGCAGAAGTCATGTTTCCCTTTCTTTGGCATGGCGCGCAGTAATGTGGCTCTGTCGTCCTGTTCCTCAGTTGTATCATCTCTATGGTAACGTTGTCGGTCGGGAACTGCTGGGCCCATTTCTCTTTGTCCTCTGTTTTGTCCACGGGGTGAGTTAGGGTCCTACATACCGGACAGATAAAGGAAGTCGCCGTATCACTCGTCCCTAACACCTCATTGACGATGTAGCTACTCAAACATTCCTCACAAAGAGAATGACGACACGGCAGAGACTTCGGCTGTCGTAACTGCTCCAGACAGATTGGACATTCGAGAAGTTGGGAGTCCGACAGGTTTGGTAGTGTGCTGTCTTCAGAGTGAGGGTCTGGATGGGGAGCACCTTCCGCCATTGTATACGTACTCAAACACTAGTTTTGTATCTGCAAGTATGAGAATAACGAAACATCGGTATGACTTTTATGGAACGTAAAGTGTGTTTCTCACATAAATAAGAGGAAATAAGACACTGTTCATGTTACTACTTATAAGATTCGGTTGTAGACACCTGCGGAGATGCTAGATATGTTACGTGTACCAATCCCGATTTTTTATTAATAAAGTTTATATACTGTATCATAGCGGAGAGATATAATACTAATGCAGGTAATCCATTCCTCTGATGTCAACATATGGAACGGTTCGTTATCAATTTTACAGAGCATCACAATAGGTTTGAAATACAATTCAAATTAACCCGATTTTCACAGTGATGCGAAATGCTTAGAGGTTACAATTAAGTATCTTGAATATTATCACAAACTTAATGTTTATTAATAACATTTGCCTGGTATAGTGGGTATCAGCCGCAGAAGGTGTTATTGATCTATATAGAACAACATAACCGTTACAAGTATAGTTTCTGAATCAAGGTTGGAAAAACACTTCAAAGGCACAGACCGATTACCTTTGATTACATGTCAAATGGTCACTAAAATGCTTATCGAGTACATTCGCCTGGTATTCAGTCGTAGTTTATATCTATTGCGTTTTGTGATTTATCATGCTATTTGACTTATACAGTGCAGACTGAATGCTTGGCTCTGTTTGGATTGGTTCACAAAACAATTTCTACAAAAACAAACTTGGCTTTAGATATGAAATAATTATGATCGTACTTTTGGTACGTACATTTCAAACTACATCAAAATATGAGTAAGTATTTCTCAGAGCGAGTGTCCGATCCGTAGCTGTCTCAAGAATAACAACTATATCAAATATGTATAAGATATTCCATTCGCTTTTTATTTTTTGTAACTCCTAATATTTTTCATCAGTATTCGGACATATTTCCTAAATAATCTTCATTGAATTATATATCATTCAAACGGAGAGGTGCAAACTTTCATATACACCAATAGAATGAGTTGATAGCGTAGTTGGATTATCATGAAAGTACGGTACTTTACTGAGAAAACTTACGTACAATGTATATATGTGTCATGTGTTGTTATAAAAAGCTGTGCGAAGAAAGTCATGGAAATTTATTGTTGTGTTTTCTTGCCATCCATGTATACATTAAGGAATCCTTAGAATATTATCCATATAATGTTTCAGGCTTCTGTCCTCCTCCTTAAGTCTTATTTAGGAAAAAGTTGTCTTGGTTTTCATGTTCTTTGATATTTATCAAAATATATGTTTCCCTTATGGATAGCTGACTAATTAGGTTCCTGTATCGTACAACGGGAGGTACTGTAACTCATAACAATGTACCCTTCCCTTTGTTAACAATTTCCCTTTAAAACTTTTTGTCTATCAAAATCATCCTTTTCCTTGTTGAATTCAATATATTTACCGCCCGACAAATCATTTATTACGAATATGTGAAGAAGAGTAAATTTCAACGTGAAAGCTACTGATGACGGCAGATATATAATATATATTATATTTGCTTGTTATCAATGTAAATTCCGTTCATATTCACAAAGAATATAGATTTAAAATAAAAATGATTGTGTTCGAACAATTTAGTTCCGATTAGGTCATATTATTGAACGTATCAACGCAGACACGTGTACAATTGAAATGTATGTATAGAATGAGGGTTTGCCAAATTTTCCTATTACTTCCGCTCTGCATATAATTAGAAAATGGCGCCGTTGCATACGTAAAGTCATCAACTTATGGTATCCGACAGTGGTGTTACTGTACAATTCCTACTCTATTGTCCATATATAGTCA